GCGCCCGCCCGCCCGCCCGCCCGGGCCAGGACTCTGGCTTTCCCCAGGCGGCCCTGCACCTGCGCGTCCTCACGTCGCGGGGCAAGGACCGGCCAACTCCGGCGGGAGAGCCCATCCCCACCCCCCCACTCCGGCGGGAGAGCCCATCCCCCCCCCCTTTTCGGAGGTCGCCATGGGGGAAACGGTCCCGAGGGAGACGGGTCCTAAGGTTTTTCACCGTCTTCGGGCTCAATCCATGCCCCCCACCCCTCGGAGGAGGGCCAGTCGAGAAACCGGCGCCCTCTCTGGTGCTTTTTTGTTTACTTTTTTGTTGGGCCTCCTGGGGACCTCTCGGTCGCCATGACTGGATCCGCCTTGAAACACTGCCAGGATGGACCCCGAGGGTGTGAGGGATCCAGGAACTGATTTAGAACGCATTGGGGACTGGCGGGAGCACCGCCAGTGCGCCAGTGTCTCAATTGGCCATCCTCCGACCGTCTCGTCGTTATCTAACAAGTCGGTCAAGAATCGAGCATTGTTAGCGCTTTACATTTTCGAGTGGGGGGATTTGATTATCCATAGCCACCGCCCAGGGATCTTCGGGACCTCGGTTGGCTGTGGATACGGACACACTCGGGTCAATCATATCCATATCAGCCACCTGCCGAGGTGCTCGAAAATCGACTCCAGCGAGGTCGAGTACGATGACCTGATCCGTGCCCACTCTGGCTGGATGCAACGCGCACCCGAACGTGGCCTCTGGAGAGAATCAGAGCATGATTTCGCTGCGCCGTGGCGAAAAGTGCTGTCAGGAGAAAATTGCTGTCATTTTCCACTGGTTGTGATTGGCCTTCCGATGAGCAAAGAGAGCCCCTGAACGGGGCTGTCAGATCACCAAACCAAACAGAGCGGGAGAGAGAGAGAGAGAGACGCCGGGCCGTTCAGAGGAGCGTGGGCAGGATCCCCTGGCGGTGGATCTGGATACGTCTCCGTCTTGCATCTTCGGGCCTCATCGAGGGCTCTCGTGACCACGGCTGTGTTCAACTCGGAGTTCTGTCCAGGACGCACCCCAGAAGTGGTCTGGGAGTCGACGGTCGACCTGGGGCCATGAAACGTGTGATGGGTGTACCAGAAGGGGCCCGAGTCACCATGCGGACGCTGCCATCGGGGCCTTCGGTGGAGCCCCCTATGGGGCCACGACGTGTGAGGGGCGTGCCACTGGGTACTGTGGTGCAACGCGAGCGCGCGATGGGAGAGATGTGCCGAGCCCTCCCTTCGCGAGATGCGAGGGACTCGGCATCGCTCGGGCGTGTGCGCATTTCTCCTCGGAGAGAGAGAGACCATCGAGGAGCATCTGGGATCAGCTTGCCAACAAAGGCACGCGCGACATCGAACAATGCAAGGGGACTGGACGTCCGAGCGATGGCAAGGGGAGCACGCTCCATTGGCCCCTCCTTTGCCTCCTTTGCCTCCTGCTCCTCCCGGCCGCCCACGGGCCCCACGGGGGCGGCCGCGCCCCTCTCGGGCGCCGCCTCCCCTCGGTCGGGTCGGGCTTCCGTGCGGTAGGTTCGCGTCGTGTCGACCGGCGGCGACCCCGCCGCGGGCGTTCAGCGCTGAACGACGGCGGCAGCCCAGAGTCGGTCGATGTTGAACGATCGGACGCTGCGGAAACAGCCGAAAGTTCAAGGTTGAACGATGCCCACGGTGTCAGGAACCACTGCCGGGGTCGACACGACACGAACCTGCCGTGCCCATCTCGGGCGTCCAGAGCGGGCATCGGAGCGGCGGCGGCGGCGGGGCCTGGGACGGAGGGCCTCTGTTCCGAGTGGTGCTCCCCCTCCCAGGGGGAGGGCTCGGGCGGGGCTACAGAGAATACCTACGTAGGTTAAGGAAGGGTGGTAGGGATGCAAGATCCTTGGAGGCCGAAGTTCGGATTTTCTGGGCGGCGGGCGACCAGAACCCCAGTGGAAACGGCAAAGGACGGGCCGCAGAGGCCAGGACACTCGGGTACAATAGAAAAGCCGCGAGTCCTTAGTATGCGCGTTGACTGTAGGACGAGGATAATCCGTTCCAGAGCGTTCCGATGACGCTCTCAGAACATGCCGAAGCGCTCTGAGAAGGCCGCGACGCCCGAGAAATCCTCCAGAGCCGCAGGATCTCAGAGATTCCTGATTTTCCTCACCCGAATTCGCCCTCGTCCCTCGTCCTGGCTTCGTCTTAAGGGGGAGGCACCTGCTCTTCTTTCTCTGCGCCTTCCCTCCCTCTCCTGGTGGGTGGTGGAGAGCTCCGCGACGCCCCTCTCCTGAGTGCCTCCCCTCCTCACACGCCTCTTCTCGTCGGTGGCGTCTTCTGGCTCGTCCCTCTTGTCCTCCTCGTCTTCATGCTCGTCCTCTCCACTACAGGCAAGACTCTGAATTTGGGACGCCTTTTGGTTCAAGAGGAGCTTTGGCTTTCGGGCCGTTCCTCAGATGTAGGTCGCCGCGGCCAGAATAACCTCGTCGTTCCTTATTTGGCGTTGGGCACGGATATATCCGATTGCCCCCCTCGCGACCTTCCTCGACCTTTCTTGTCCTCCTTCTCCGGCGGCGAGCCCAGGCGGGAAGCGAGAGGGGGCAGGCCTTCTCAGAAGGCGGCGGGGCTTCTCGGGAGCCCTGGCGCCGCCTCTGTTCTCGGGGAAGGCTCAAAAGACTCCCCAGAATGCCGAAGGCCTTCCGAGCCTTCTGAGAAGGCCTGCCCCCTCTGATTTCCCCCTCGGCTCGCAGCCGAAGCGAGATGTCCTCCCCGTCCGCCTCCCCCACCTGCCTGGCGCAGGGGTGGGGCGGGGTCGGGCTGCGCGGCGGCTCGCCCGCCTCCCCCACCGCGGGGAAGGAGAAGAGGGACTTCAAGAAGCGGACGATCCTGAGCCTGCTAGGAGATGCGGGACGGGGGACGCAGCTGGGCTTGAATCCGGGCTCAGGGTACAGTCAGTTGGCCGACCCGGAAGGTAAGTTCATGTTGGGAACGTTGAATGTTCTGGACTCAGTTGGCACTTGCGCTTCTCATGGTGCAGTTAGCATGTATCATGGCTGTCTCCTATTCGAAAGACTACGTCGCACCTCGTTCGGAAAGTTCACGTTGGCGGTCTGGCTCTGAAATCCTGTGGTGTCCCTGTGTGATGTCTTGCCAACTTTTGCTTGACAAACCTCCGCTCACTTTCTGAAACTTGATCGTCGATTTGCAAGTGGCTCCAACATGAGGAACCCTGGAGGAGGGGGAGAGGGAGCAGGAGAAGGGATGATAAGGACTTCGAACGGTTTCCTGCATGAGTGTGTTCATGGGTTCCAGATGCAGCGGGTGGAGCAGGAGGTGGACCTCGGACGGGGTTAGGACGAGAATCAATTCGTTCCGGAACGTCCTGAGGAGGCCGCGGCGCCCGAGACATCTTCCAGCGCCGCGGGATCTCAGAGATTCTCGAATTATCCACACCGGATGTTATGCTCGCCCTGGCTTCGTCTCGGTAAACCGAGGATGCATTGCCCAGGCCGAAATGCACTCCCGTCTCGAGCCCCCCTGCCACAGCAGGGGTCTCTGCAAGTGAGGCCGTCCATTGCGGGGAACGCCTCCCCGGAGTGGTGCGCGCCCGGCGTTCCTGCCACTCCGGCGAGACCGTCCATTTGGCCAAGCAGAAGCAACGGGGTACGGGCCCCACCGAGGTATATTGGACGGGAGCCTGGGGAGAAGTGAGAAGGGGCGGGCCTTCCCAGAAGGCTCGGAGGCCCCCCGGTCGTCTGAGAAGTTTTCTAAGCCTTCCCCGAAGACACAGAAAACCTCAGAAGGCCGGAGGGCTTCTGAGACCCCCCGACGCTTTTGAGAAGGCCTTCTCCGCCTCACTTGCCCCCCTCGCTCGCCGCCAATTCTGGCCAACAAAAATCCAAAGAGGTACAGTCGGACCGAGGTATGACATCGAGGTTGGTTCGGGGAGTGCACCCTAGTGTTCTTCGTGTTTGTTGAATGTTTTTGTGCATCATGAGGGGGGTACCCCTGGATGTTCTGTGTGTTTTGGCCAGCGAACGGCCTCATGCTCTCGAAGGATGTTCTTCTGTCCCTGGCCCGACCGTTGCATTGTAGACTTCAAGGGTCGATCTCGTGCGTGTCTCGAAAGCTTTCAGACGAGTATGGCGACAGCTGTTGCGGAAGTCCCAGGCAAGAGCCGGAGCCCCCGCTTGAAAAGGAGCCGCCCTCTACCCGTGTAGTCGTTGCACAATGGGAGGTTCCAGGTCGTAGATTATGAGGAAGTCTGAAGCACGAATCGCATTACGAAAAAGAGCCACCCTCGCTCCGTGTAGCTGCTGGAAGTGTTCAAACGAATGTGCGCGGCGCTCGTGAGAGAACTGCGTTTTGAAAACGGTAATCCCTGCTCCTAACTGGCCAGCCATCCTTTAACTTTTGGAGGTTTTCGGTTTCGCTTCTGGAGCGTCTAACGCAAGGAAGTCTCAAGTGAAATGTCGGGCCCGCCGGCCTACGGACGCGTCTGGTGATGCGACAGAGGGGAGTGGTTCATAACGACGAGGGGCTTATGTTTTCGATGAGGAGCAGGAAGGATGGCTCCTCCTCATCCTCCTGATCCCCCCTCTTGTCCGGTTTCCTGGCCGCCGTACATCCCCAAGTGCTCTCTCCTCATCCTTCCCCTCCGTCCCCCTCTCTCACCCTGCCCTGCCAGCCCCTTCTGCTATAGGATGCTCCTCTCCGCCGCCTCACACCTCAAGCAGGCCTGCTGCCAAGTGCTTCATAACCCAGGGGATTGTCGCCGCAAGGTACTTCCAATACAGTCCCAGTTTTCCTCCTGAAGGGGGAAGGCCCAGAGTCTCTGGAGATCTCTGGAGGTCGTCCGAGGCCCCGGGATGCGAGGCCCGTGATGGCCTCGGGAGCTAACCCGGAGGCCTCTCGAGCCAGCCCCTCGATCCTCGACCCTCGCACCTCGAGCCTCGAGCATCGAGCCTCCTCAAGCCTCGAAGCTCACTCCTCTCCTTCTCTCACCCTCCTGGCTCAACAAGCACTTGTTGCTGCGCGGGGCTTCTTCCTCGTGACTCGACCAGCGTTTTTGAGTTTGCTGTCAGTGCCAGACGAGGCACCAGGCACGGCCTCGACAATGGAGGCGGCGGCGGCGAAACAGCAGCAGGCCGGCCACGACCCCGCGGTTTGGTGCTGCGAGCGCACGAGCCGCCGCCGAGTGACGTGGCCGCAAGCCGCAGGCGACGGACGTCTCGCCGAGCCCGACGCGGCGGCCGAGGCGCGGCCTGAGGCGCGGCGACGGACAGCCACGGCCACGGCCACGGTAACGGCCACGAAGGCGACGGCGAAGGCGACGCCGACCTACGACGGCGACGGCGAGTGCGACGGCCGCGGCGGCGACGACAGACGGCGATGGCTACGACTGCGACGGCGATGGCTGTGGGGACGGGGCGGAGGCGGCGAGTGACGGGCGACGAGCCACGTTGCGTCGGCGGGCCGAGAGACGTCGGCGGCTGACAAGGCCACGAAGTGCCCATCAAGGTCCGCGTCCAAAGACACGATCACCACCGAGCAGGATATTGCGGGACCAGAACCATCGGACAAGAGAAACAATCGCACGTAATCGTACACTTTCGGAGCTTCGCGCGGATTTCTCGGATCGGCGTTGGAACGCCCTGGCGCCGCCCCTGAAAATCAGCGGGATCCAGCGCCGAATCACCCTGCTTGCCTACAGGGTACCCTGGGTTTCTTGGGTTTCGATGGTTTTGCCATAGAAAGCGTGACGTTCCCACACCAAAAAGATTTGGGTTTCTTGTGGAAGGTTTCTTGTGGTTGAGCTCCTATTGTAACACACGTAACCTTGGGAGGTGTTTAGTTTCAGACCCCCCCTTTTGTTTGGGCGGGGACTGGGACTGGTCCTGAAACTTCCTCGTCGCGGCGTGGCTGGTTTTCCTCTGTTGTTGGGCGGGCTGGATAAGGTTGGAGGTTTACTTCTCCCAGGGAATAATGCACCCTGGGCCACTCCCTGCACTAATCCTGCTAAGGAGGAGGGGGAGCAAGAGGAAAGGAGGAGGAGGAGAAAGGGTAGGAGGAGGAGGAGGAGGAGGAGGAGGAGGAGGAAGGATGGGGAGGAGGAGGACGCATATGATGAGAGGCAATATGAGGAGACAAAGGGTGGGGGGGGCACGTGAGGGCCAGACCCTTGCGTGTGAGAGTGCGATGAGGGGTAACCATTGCCTTGGAAACTCGTGTTAACTTCAAGGTCAAGTCGGTCACCTTTAAGGGCTCCTTGTAGTTTCTATTACAACAGTTGTATTATTTAGGTTTGACCACGTTTGAGAACATAGTGTAACTTCACAAACCAATTGGCCACGTGAAGGGTTCACTTCAGTTTCCAGGCCAGCATGGCGAACTTTCCGTTGTGAGCAATGCAGAACTTGCTACTCGAGCGTCCGCGCGCGCGCAATCGGGTGACCCACGTGCGGGCGGGTCACCTGAAATGCGGGCGGGTCACCTGAAGGTTTGTCTTAGTTTCCAGGCCAACATGACGATTTTCCAGTGTGCGCAATAATTTCTCCACGCGCGCGGACGCGCGCTCGCGCGGATGCGCGCGTGGCGAGTCTTGTTTAATAATCCACGGTGGGAAGGACAGTCACCAGGTTGATACGGAAACTAATGTGAACCCTTCACGGTGACCGATTCGATTTTGATGCCAGCGTGCGTTTCTCCATGCTGTCAACAATAGAACAGTCGCCATGCTGGCTTGGAAACCAGTGTGGGCCCTGAGCGGTTGCGGATCGGAATAGGAAATCACATACGATTTTCAAGTTCTTCAAGAATCTACAAGTCGCCGTATTGGCCTTGGAACCATTGCTAACCCTTCACGGGTCGGTTGGACTATGAAGTTGAATATGTTACTTTCAGTGTTGGGAAGAATACAGAGGTCGCCATGTCTCATGTGAGGAGGATGGGTGAATATCTTCTCATGAGGATTACAATAGAGAAGTCTTTCGTTTGATACAAGAGCTTTCTCAAACTCGCCTGCCTAGCGCTGCTGGCAGAACTCCTGCTGGCGCCTGGTCGGCGCGCGCGGCGACGTGGGATTAGCTTCCCTCTATTATTCGGGTGGGGTAGATACCGTTCGGGGGTGATTTCTCCAGCTGAATAATCCATTGTGTGATACACGCGGGAGGATGCGTGAGCATTTTCTCATGAGGACTGCAATGGGATTGCTCAAACTCGCCTGGCGAAAAGCCCCTTGGCGCCTGGTCGGCGCGCGCGGCGACATGGGATTAGTTATCCTCTATTGTTGGGCAGGCTGGATCATGTTTGAGGGTTCTCTCCCCACGGAGTAATCCCTTGTTGGTTATCCTGCACGCGGGAGGATATGTGAGCATCTTCTCATGAGGATTGCAACAAGGACTATTTATTTTTGATCCGGGACGTTTCTTGAATTGGCCTGCCTGCTACAGCTCGCGGAAGTCGTTTTCGCGATTGGTCGGCGCCAGCGACGACGTGGGATTTGTTTCCCATTATTTGGGTGGGCTGGATGATGTTCGACGGTTCGTTCTCCCACGGAACAAACCATTGAGAAGATTCGCAAGCATCTTGTCTTGAGGTCTGCAATAGAAATTGTAGTCGCATTGCATTGCGAATTTAAATTCACCCGTCGGTCTCGTTTCTTTCAGCTTGGACGATTTTTCTAAGTAGGTTCTGAAAGTGGAGTTTCTGTAACGCCGAGGCCGCGGGTGGCGCTGAATATGTTTCATTTGTTGTTGGGTGAGCAGGATAATGCCAGATTTTTTCTCGCAGTGAATCGCGCTGTCTGGGATACCTTGCTCGACAGAGGATGGTTGAGCTGGTTTGTAAGAATATTGCAATATAGATCGACTGAATCGCTCGCTTCGCTCACTCCGCCGGCCCATTTCGCATCACTGTGGCTGCGTGGTTGTGTGCTCGTGCCCAGGGGGAGGGCAGTACGACCTTCGAGGTGATCTTTAGGGATGTGGCCCGCACCCTGTCGACGGGAGCCGATAGACTGCCCCAGAGGGCGCCAAGATGGCTCAAGAAAGCTCTAGAAGAGTTTCCAGACGTACCTGGGTTGTGGGTCAAAGCCCTCATGGATGCTTCTCTGAGTCTCTTCGGAGGGAGCCTCTGGGGAGCTTCTTGGGGACCTCTTGGGGCTTCCTTGCGTCCTGTTGGGAGTCTCGGGGGCCTCTTTGGGGGCATCTTGGGGGCCTCTTGGAGCCTCTTGGGGGGCTCGTGGAGGCTTCTTGGGGCCTCCTGCGCGCCTCTTGGGGCCGAGGGCTCGAAACGTCCGTTCGGGTTTTCCGTCTGGCCCCCTCTTGGGGCCGTCCTGGGGATAGTTTGGGCCCTCTTGGAGGCCTCTTGGGCGGTCTTGGGGCCCTCTTGTGCCCTCTTGGAGCTTTCGTGGGGGCCTCTTGGACCGTCTCGGGGCGATCTGTGGGGCCTCTTGGGCCGTCCTGGAGCATCGGGAAACCGAGCAGATGAGAACAGCAACATCCTTCAAACACCGAAGGGAAATCTATGGTGGTTGCCTTCTGGAGCCTTCTTGAGACGCTTTTTCGAAGCCTCTTTTGGCGTCTTGGGAGCATCTTGGGGCCGAGGGTTCGAACTGTCCGTTCGGGTTCCCCGTCTGATCCCCTCTTGGGGCCGTCCTGGGGATACCTTGGGCCTTCTTGGAGGCCGCTTTGGGCCGTCTTGGGGCCCTCTTGGGGCTTTCGTGGAGGCCTCTTGGGCCGTCTTGGGGCGATATGTGGGGCCTCTTGGGCCTTCCTGGAGCGCAGGGAAGCCGAACGAATGAGAACGACAACATCCTTCCAACACCGAGGGGGGCATCGATGGTTGTTGCTTCCTGGATCCCTCTTGAGACGCTTCTTCGAGGCCTCTTTGGGCGTCTTGGGAGCCTCTTGGGGCCGAGGGCTCGAAATGTCTGTTCGGGTTTCCCGTCTGGCCCCCTCTTGGGCCCGCATGTGTTCCCCACCCAGGGCAGCGCTTCGTGGCCCCATAATTAGGGAGCTCCACCGAAGGCCCCAGTGGGGGTGCCCGCATGCGGTTCCCCCGCCCAGGGCAACGTTTCGTGGCCCCACAGTGAGCTCCACCGCAGGCCCCAGTGGGGGTGCGGTTCTCCCCACCCAGCGCAGCGTTTCGTAGCCCCATGGGAGCTCCACCGAAGGCCCCAGTGGGGGTGCCCGCATGCGGTTCCCCCACCCAGGGCAGCGCTTCGTGGCCCCATAGGGAGCTCCACCGAAGGCCCCAGTGGGGGGGGCCCGCATGCGGTTCCCCCGCCCAGGGCAGCGTTCCGTGGCCCCATCAGGAGCTCCACCGAAGGCCCCAGTGGGGTTGCCCGTTCCCCCACCCATGGCAGCGTTTCGTGGCCCCACAGTGAGCTCCACCGTAGGCCCCAGTGGGGGTGCCCGCATGCGGTTCCCCCACCCAGGGCAGCGTTCCGTGGCCCCATAGGGAGCTCCACCGAAGGCCCCAGTGGGGGTGCCCGCATGCGGTTCCCCACCACCACCACTGGCAGGCCCCTCACTCAGTTCGTGGCCCCATAAGGAGCTCCACCGATGACTATATTCACAACTGCGGTACTCACAACTGCATATGGTTGGGTCCTTCGCCAGGCTAATTCGACGTGCTCCAGAAGGCCAGTTTGGACAAAAGGCTGCGTGCGTAGTCATATCAAGAGAATCTCATCGTGACCCCCCCCGCTTTCGGCCTCCAGGGCGGCCCTTACTCCTCGAAGCGTCAACGAAACAGCTCGAGATGAAAAGTTGCCCTGGGTAATGAATAGGTTGAGGCTTCCAGGGGTCCACGTTATGATAATAAATCGACGTCGGGGATCGGAGGGAGAGGGTGGGATCATGGATGGAGGCTTAGGAGCCTCCCCGGAAGTTGTTGGACTTATGCTGGCCCGTTGTGGGGAACCCTCTGCGGCCTCGACCTCCACACTACCACACAAGTTTATAAGCATTGCGAACTTTCAGATGTTGATCTCTTGGGTCGGCGTTGGACCCCCCTTCCTGCCCACCCGTTGCGCTCCGCGCACTGGGAAGTGGCGTGGAGTGTGAGATCCAGCGCGGGCCTAAGAAGCAAGCGCAGACCTCTGGAAGTGAACGGTTGGGTGGATCAGGAGTTGGCTATGTCAGTCTTGTTTGTCGGGAGCCGACTTGTTCGTTCCAGGGTTCTTTTGGTCAGGAGCTGACTGCGTCTCGCTCGACGACCGCAGCCGACGATCGCAGCAGCTGCGAGGACAGCCCCAAGCAAAGCACGGACGCGGACATTGCCTGGGGGAGCACGGACAGCGAGGGCAGTGATTACGACTCCAGCAGCGGAGCCAGCTGCACAGTCAAGAAGGCGAACTGGGCGGACCAGACGGACCAGGAGTTCGGGCCTGTCGTCGGCTCAGTCCGCCCCAGATGCCCAGCGATGTTTATCATCATCGTGTTGTTCGTGCTTCCTACACAAGCTTCTCAACGTCACAAAGTTGTCCATTCGGAGTCGCTTGCACATCGGGCGGAGGGAGGAGGACGAGGAGGAGGAGGACGAGGAGGAGAGGAGGAGGGAGGAGGGAGGATGGAGGAGTAGGCTGCTGCTGCGGAGGAGGAGGAGGAGCCACTCTGCATCGAAGTAGCCACCCTCAGTGGAGCACGGCCTGCTTGTGCGTGCAGCGTGCGCCGATGATCCAGAGGTGCTTCCCCCCCTCGCTCAGGGCCCTGCGCCTCTGAAGGCTGCCCCGCCTCGAGAGCTCCATCTCCTCGTGCACGGGGCTTCGCACGTTGCGGGTCGGACGAGAGGGGTGCATCTGGAGATGTGGGCTTACGAAATTAGCTGTGTGCAGCTGGCTTCGGCCCCCCTGCTGGGTGGTCTCTTCGATGCATGGGCGCCTCGTGCGCCAGGAGACGCTGGGAGAAGTAGCTCCATGATCCGATTCGCTGGCCCCCCTTTGCTGGTCCTCCCTTTTGTGTTTGACCCGGCTCCTGGCCATAGACTGGGCGCCCTCGCAGGTCTTCAGGTCTTTGGTGGTCTCCAGTGAGCGCAAGCGCAGGGATCTTCGCTGAGACTCCGGAGAGGCATCTGCCTGCTTACTGGCTCGTTCCATGGGCAATGTTAGGGGGGGATCGGCTCAGGGGCGGGGGGACATGCATATCGCCGATTCCAGTTCGATGCTTCTCCCTCCTTGGCTGGTCGCCCCAAATCTTCTCCCAACTTTTGGCCCTCTTCGGGTCTCTGGATGCCTTCGGAGGCTCATACCCTGAGATCCCATGTCGCGAGAACAAGCATTGCGAACAGGAACTACCAGAGCCCTAGACCCACTTTGTTTTCCTAGCTGGATCGATCTGTGATGTCCCAGGTCACAGAACAAAGCAACATCGCCCGTAGTGAAAAAGTGTCGCCAGGATCTCAGGGGGCCAAGCATGGCCAAAACGAGCCGATCCTCGGTCTGTCTCCATCGTATGTACGCCGATGTGCTCTGCACGGCTGGCGATCAGCATGCCGTCGCACCAGGCCCATGCTGCGAGCTCGCGTTGTCTTCGGCCACCTCTTTGTCGCGGCTCGTGAGAACCGCTGCCCTGCCTTATTCCTCAATGGGGGAAAAACTACCCCAACCCACATTATTGGTGTTTACTAAACGGTCGGTCGTTTACCACACAGCCCTGTCCCGTTCGGGTCCTTCCTTGTGTCCTTCGGTGCATTTCTAAACGGCTTGAGACTGTTTTGGGGGGCCCAGCGATATCCGGGTTATCGGGTTCGCCCCCCCGCCGCTCATTTGTATAACTTCACTTGGTTGGTTGAGCAGGTCCAGACATATCTTTCGGTATTCCCAGACAGCGCCCGCATCGTCGCGCCCGATGGCACAAGTGGTGTCAGCAGCGCTGGTGGTGCCACCGCCACTGCCAGTGACCCCATGACAGAGATTAGCGTTAGTTCTATTGGCAGTGGTGTGGTAGGGGTAGTCATAGTTTTAGTTAGAGTAATCGTAGTCGTCGTACCAATTGTCGTACGCGTAAGGAGGACGAGCATTTGCAATAATGGAAGTTAGAGTAGCTGCGGGGTAAGCAGGCAGTTGGCTACCATGTTCCCGCCATCGGTGCACGTGGTGCGCCCCGTCGCCCCGTCTTCCCCTCGCCTCCACCCAATTCTCCGCCCATCCCCTCTTGGTTGTTCTTTTTGGTTCTCCGCTGGCACGGGCAGTGCGCGCGGGCGTCTTCCTCGTGGCCGAGGCTGGCCAACCGCGGTGCTACTGCCCCCAGCCCGCCCCCAGGTGTTGCCCGCGGTGGCCCCCCGCGTGCCCTGGCCTTCAGAGGTCCAGTGGCCGGCGCTTGCTTGCGCACAGCATGCACTTCAGTCTCAGTCTCCCAGCTCCCGGCGTCTGTGCTGAGCGCTTGCGTTAGCAACAGCGGGCTTGCCCGCGGGAGTCGTGCGCACACTCGGCGCCGCGCACCACTATGTGGCGTTTTTGGGGTATGTTTCCAGCTGGCCAGCCAAAAAGGAGACCACGCATGTGCAGTGCTTGCTGTTCCTCCTCGTCGCCCCATGCTTACGGAATACCATGTGTGTGCGGACCGACAGCCAGCAACGCCATTGAAGTCCAGGCAGCGGCCGCAGAGCCGGGGTGTGGGAAGACAACGGAAGCCAGGCAGCCACCGCGACGTGCACGACACACGGCCAGCCGGGCGGGAAGCCACATGAGTCCAAGAGATTATAGCGAAAAGCGAGTCGCAAGGCCAGCGGTTGCTTCCGAGACTCCCCGTGAGGGGCAACACGCAGGGCCGTGGGCGGGACGCAGAAGTTCATGCAGACACACACGCACTTCCTCCAGCGGTGGTGTTGCGACGCCATCACGAAGCGCTAATCCAGGGCACGTCTATGCGAAAGTCCACTTGGCGTAGCAAATGGGTGGAGTGGATGGTGGCAATCGTTGCAAAAACAGGGTTCGCGCATACACGTGGAAGATGCCGTTGACACACGCAAGTATACACACCTTCACATTCAAGTTCACGTTCACACTCAGATTCATGTTCACATGCGCGTTCGTATTCACATCTACATCCACATCCCCATACACAATGACATTGCCACTCACACTTGCATTCACATTCACGTACGTATTCTCAGTCGCATTCACGTCCACATCCGCGTTCACTTTGGCATTGGCTTTTGCATGCACATTCGCGTTCACGTTCACACTCGCATTCACAATCACATCCACATGCACAGTGATGTCCGCAGCCACATCCGTATTCCACGTCCGCAGCCACGTTCTGACCCCCATCTTTCCACACACATCATCATGTACACTCACACTCACTTGTAAATACACATTCAATGTCACATTGCGCTTCACATTCATATTCGCATTCACAGCCACAGCCGCATCCACACACACACATGCACATGCACATTTACATGTGCGTTGACATTCGCACTCACGCTCACACCCATACGTACACTCACACTTATCCAAACACATTGTCCAGTGCTTCACTCAGGGCAAGTGGTGCGGGAAGCCATACGAGCCAAAGAACATGCCGCATAGTGCAACACGCACGGACAGCGGGGCGCGACGCCCAGAGAGACTAAGCGCCTACGGTCGATTTCGACACGCAGGGCCAGCTCCTGTGTCAATGGGATGTATCCACATGCGTGCGGCAAACTCCGCCAACGTGACTGTGCAACAGCCCAGCAGGAATGAAACTGAATGTAGGAACGGCACGATTCCGACGATTGGTCTGAACTGGGACGGGTCTTGAATTCGACCTCGTCTTCGTCCGCGTGGTATGGGGAGTGCGAGTCCCCGCCCTGCTGCAGTTCAGCGAGCGGTCTGAGCAGAGGCGGGTCGTGAATTCGACCTCACCCTCGTTCACGCGGTAGGGAGGAGGTGGAGGAGGAGAAAGAGGAGGAGGACGACGAGGACGAGGACGAGGAGGAGCAGGAACAGGAGCAGGAGCAGGAGGAGGAGAGGGAGAAAGTGAAGGCAATGAGGATCATACCTCTTAGGGACTCTCTTGGGGCCTCCTGGGAGCCTCATGGGGGCTACCTGGGGGCCTCTGGGGAGCCTCTTGGGGCCTCTTGGGACCTCTTACGGGCCTCTTGGCCTGTCAAACGCCTTCGGAGGCCGTCTTGGGGGCCTCTCTTGGCCGTCTTGTTGCCCTCCTGGAGCGCTTGAGGGCCGTCTTCGGGCCCTCTGGGAAGGCTCCTAGGCGATCTTGGGGTCCTCTTGGCCGACTTTGGGCCGTCTTTGGGGACCTCGTGGAGTGTTCGGGAGCTATCCTGGAGGCCTCTTGGGCCTTTCTGGCGGTCGGTCACTACAACAGGTGAGACCTTGACCGTATTTGAAATAATGTGAAATCGATGTTTTCGCCTCGGGTTCTCTTGGAGGCTCTCTGGGAGGTCTCTCGGAGCCCTCTTCGGCCGTCCTGAAGCCTCTCGAGATGTCCTGCGGCCGTTTCGGAGCCTCGTATGCTGTCTTGGGCCATCTTGGGCCCTCTCGGTGGCATCTTGGCTGTCTGGGACGCTGTGCACAAAGCCATCTTCGCCGTCTGGAGGCGGAAAAGAGCGCCGGAAAGTAACTTCAGGGGGGGGGCGTTTGTTTAGAGGGACGTGCGACGAAGGGGAGGGGATCGTCCGTAGAAAACACTAACAACAATTTCAGACAACATAAATATCATTATAACACCCCGTGCAGGCATGGTAGCTGATAACCCTGAGTGCAAGCACGTGGGGGAAGCCGTGGTTGTAGAGATCAGCAGTAGTGGCGGCATAAGTAGCAATCTAGTACTATTGGATACGTTCGATTGAAACATATGCAGCAAGCGAACTGACACCAGTTGCAACGTCGTCAATGTGAAGCGCGAGACATGGTTTCCAACAAGTGGTAAGTCAAGCTTACACACCGTCCGCAGTGCTTGCAACGCAACTTAAGGTCATCGAGCAAGTGATCGGAGACACTAGTGTTCTCCAGCAGAGGGCGGACAAGTCGGAGCTGCAGGCCTTGACGACGACTATCTGCCAGGCGCCTCCGGTGGCGCCCCCCCCCATGCACGCCAGGAAGTACGTCCCCCCCGGCTCTCGCTGTAGGGCCGCATGGGCGCCCCAGCAGTCCCAGCTGTCCACGGCCAGTCCGCAGTCGCTGACCCCTAGCAGGCGGGGGTCCAGCAGTGCCGTCGCTGGAAGCGATGGTGGAGTCTCTCCTACGGGCGACGGTACCAACCGCAGTGCACATGGGCGCCCGAAGAAGATGAAGGCTGCCGGCATCACCCCCAAGCTTGGCAAGGTGACTACGCTGATGGTGCGCAACTTGCCTGCCAAGCTGAAGCAGCAGGACTTCGTGTGGGAGCTCAACGCCAGCGGCTTCGAGGGCACCTTCGATATTTGCTACATCCCCAGGGACTTCTCTTCCGGGCGTTGCAAGGGGTACGCATTCGTGAATTTCAAGCTGGTCGCCGATGCCTGCCGGTTCCACGCCACCTGGCACCACACGGAACGATTTGGTTGCCGCGAACACCGCTTGGACGTGTCCCCAGCTCAGATCCAGGGCTACGAAGCCAACGCCGCGAAGGCCAACTCCTCCCACGTGGCCAAGGTTCGGAACCCAAGCTTCCGCGCGCTCATCATCAACAAGGACCAGGCTGCCGAACCGCAGTCGCCCCTCGGCTCGCCGAGCAGCTTGAGCCCGGCAGGCTTCAGCACACAACTGGGGCGCGCCGCGGCGCCACTGGTGAGCTCGCAGGGGCCTCCCTGCCCCGAGGCGGGTGAACGCGCCGCGGGTTCTGTGCGGCCGGCGCCGCAGGAGCTCCTCGGCTTTCCGGCGCCGACCCCCTTGCAGCACCGTCTGCCGCCGCGCCCGCTGGCAACCAGCCCAGCCGTCCTGCCCCGCGCGGTGCCTGACGGTGTCATGGTCGTTGTGCTGATGGGCAGCCCCCAGCACAGCATGCTCCAGGAGTGCCCGGCGATTCAGGTCAACTCGACGCCGAACTACGGCAGTGTCGTTGCTCACTGAAGCTTCTGCTCGCGGGGGACACCCCGGAATAGCGCGCCCCACTATGTATCCTTGGCCACGGCTCGTTGCATGCGCTCATCTACGGCGAGTAGGCTTGTGCCGCGATCTCAGTCTGCTTGTCGCAGTTCCCCCTACACCTCACCTCCCCTCAGAGTAGCAAGAGGTCATGATCGGGATAGGTTCTCAGATTCCCAGAATCTTGCAGATTTCCTCATGTTCTAAACGGGCTACAGAAACGAGGACCGCTAGATACTTTGGAAATCCTGAAACGTATCCGAAGCCAATCGTATCATTCTATCTCTCTCTCGTCCCAACCTCGCCGTCCCCTTCTCTGATCTCACCCTAACCCTCGTCAGGTTGCGGCCACATTTCCGTTCGAAGAACAAAAACAGATGTGTCCGCCATCGGGGGCGCCTGTCCACGGGCGACCTGACAGTCTATACCCCTACGGTGTCACGTCAGGGTATGAACTTTCCAGCCTCCCTGGGGCAGGCGTCCCCGACGGCTGAAAAGTTTGGTTTATACCGCTCTTCGCCTGCCAAACATCCACACATCCCTTTCTTGCGATCTCCCGTGTAGTCCATCGGGCAGGGGTGGCTCCGACAACATGCGCGTCGAGCATTGCGCAGGGAGTGCCTCCTCGGGGCCCACTTTGAAGTTTTGGGGCCCAGCGGGGGCGTCTTAGGAGCCTGCTGTGATCCATGAGCTGTATTCGGGGTTTGTCGGGGGGGCGGAGGATGTGTCCTGGGGACGCGTGGGAGGTTCCTTTCGCCGTCCTGGGCCTTCAAGGGTTACCCTGGCAGCCTTCTTGGGGGATCCTTGGTCGTCCCAGAGTCCTCTTCTGATTCGCGGTGGCTCTTCTCTCCCGGCCCCAGGCCCGGCCTGTCTTCTTTCGGTTGTGTCCCCTCTCCTCCTCTTCCTTATCTCCCTCCCTCCCTTTCCTCCTGCTCCCTGCCTACTGTGTCCGTCCCGCCCCCCTTCCGCCTGCCCGCCCGCGCCTTCGTCCCTGGCCTCCCGCCTGCGCGTTCGTCGTCGTCTGCGCGCTTCTCCCATCCTCGTCCCCCTTCGCCGGGCAGCACAGCCTGGCCTGCCAGGGACCAGCGTGGCGGCGCGTAGGGTTTCGCTGTGCCCAGGGCCCTCTGAAGCACTCCTGCCCCCCTGTCCCAGGATGTACAGGGAAGGCGGGGAACATGTTGAACCCCAGTCGGAAAAGAAACGTTGCCTTTTGTCAAACTGCGCTTCCCTGGGGGGCTCTCTGGTCGTTCATTTTGGAAGCCCCCTCGCTGCAGGTGCCCTGGGCCAGTGTCCCTCCTGTGGGCCGCCCGTGGGCCTCGCGCGCATGCCGGCTCGGCTCTGGCCCACCTTCCCGCTGCTGGCGCAGTTGCCAGGAAACTCGCTCTTGGCTTGCCCGCTCGCGGCCAGCGGCCACCGCGTGGCCAGCGTTTCTCTTGAGGCTCACTCCAAGCGTGCTGGCTCGCATGCGGCGCACTCGCGACGCCAGTGTTGTGGCCAAGGAATTTGCCGGTAGACGCACTCCACTCCCGCACATTCGCGCCTGGCAGCCATTGCGGTGCCGATGCTGCTGCCAGGATGTAGACGGGGAAGATCATTCCGAGCTTGCCCGCCCGATTGAGGCGCTCATCGCATCGGCTGCGTTGTTCGGCAGCCATCGCGATGCCAATTCGAGACGCTTCGCGTAACCCAGCCATTTTCCGTAGCCCCCCCTGGCTCAAGCCGTCTCGGCTCGAGCCCGCCCCTGCCAGGTTCGGCGTTCGGCCCCGGGCGATGGGCTGCGGCGGCGCGGCGGCGCCGGCTTGCGCGTGCTGCGGCTCAGCGCCGCCTGGCGGCTGCCGCGGCCGGTGGCCGCCCCCCCGAGCTCCCCTGCGCGGCCCGCGGCCGCTGGCGCGGGCCTGGCCGGCGCTTGCTCGCGCCGCCCGCCCCCCGAGCTGGCCGCCTCCGGCCCGGCGGACGCCGCCGCCGC